ATCTAGAATGGAACAACGCCACCTGTAACTTATGGTAATTTGATCTATTTGGGTCCATCGCTGGCCAGCTACAGGAAGACGCCAAGTGACACTTCGACGTCCACTGTGTCTACTAGCGGTACTTCTATGTGACAACTGGTGCTCCGCACACAGTTGCAACAGACGCTCGCCGTTGTCATTATGTTCGGAGTTAAACCCATAATTTCCACCCAGTTGGGCTTCAGAAGAGCTCAGGCGCCCTCCTTGTGCGTTCATATCTCGTGCAAGTATTATAATGTCCGAACTAGTAACACGGCGTAGTGTGCGTTCAGTCCGTGATAGAACGTGTCCTTGGCAGCATCAGAACTGCAGTCGGTGGGAGCGTAAGCGGAAATCACAAACAAACAGCGCCTGGTACTACTTCGTGAAGGAACCTTAGTTGATTTCGTCAAAAGGGGTGCACACAAACGAGTACTCACCGGAATCCAATCAACCAAAGATAACTCAGCTTTGGAGCTGGGAATGATACTTATCCCAGCTTGATCCGTGAGTGTTGCATCGGCGTCTCCCGGTGCGTGTAAGCAATAGCGAGATTAGAAATCTGAAGTTAATTGTTATCAGCTGAGTCTGTTTTGTGTGAATTATTGTCGCTTAGGAAAGCTGACAAGACTTTTTCCCTACTAAACACTTTTCTTTCGGCAGAGGCAGTAAAATCGGGATTTGGTTTGTCAGGCGGGAACGCCTCTGGTGACTTTGAGGAAGAATCCACTAACACAGTTGTATAGTTCTTCTGTTGAATTGGCCGACAGTAATTCTTATGTACCTTTTGCCAGGGTTAGTATGTCATCGGCGATAGATGGCCGCTGTAGAAGCTTGTGTTTACAGTTCTGTCGTTCAGAAGCAGTTCGTCGTATATCTGCATTTATTTTAGGCCACCAGCGCAAACCTCGAGCTACGAACTTCATCTTTTCAACATCAAGATGGCCAGGATGTAACTCATCCAGAACAGTTGTTCCTAAAGTTGGCGGAGTAACGATACGATCATTCGCACACAATAATCAACCAGGTGTAACACACAGCTCTTCACGGTGCACGTAAAATTGTCGAACCCTCTGTTTTAGAGAAACAGACCATCCTTGTTTGACAGCAGAAATCAGTTGCGCGTAATACTTTTTAATCTCTTTGTTAAGAGCTGAAAGAGAAGTTGGAAGCGGGTGAGTGAGTAAACTACACATTTCAGAGTCGGTATCAAATACCGTTGCATTTCGCGATAACTAATAAACGTGAGGAATAAGCTTTGCACTTTTGTGCTCCACCACATAGTTGTACGCGCTAATAGCAACACTCCACCTTTGAACCATTGCTGCTGAAGATTTAACTAAAGAACTCTCAGGGTTATAAATGAACTTTAGAGCCTCATGGTCTGTTACAATAGTAAATCTGCTACTAGACAACTGTTTGTAAGGTCTGGTGACTGCCCAGGATACAGCCAGAGCTTCTCAGTGGGTTTGCGCATGCCCCTTTTCAGCATTGCTGTCTACGAAAGATACATAGAACAAGCTGCCTATACTGCTCTAATACAGCACCTATACCGGTTGGGGAGGCGTGTTTGAAAAGCATGGTTTTATAGTTTTGGAGAACAAATAAGAAGAACACAACCAGACGTAAGCGTCTTCAGAAGCTTTCGAAGAATATGGTCATGTTTGTCTAGCCAAATAAAACTCTTGTCATTTATTAAGGATTAGCAATGAATGCAAAATTAGTAATTAATTTGGAATAATACTGTAAGCCTCTCATCAATGATCGAAGCTCATGAGCATTGCTGGGCGACTTCGCAGCAACCACTGAATTTATCCGATCAGAATCTGGTTTGAATCCTTCAGATGTAGCATGATAGCCAAGACAATTGATCTCTTGGACACCAATTAAGTACTTCTTTTGGTTGATATTCACATTGGCATCCTTGAAGCGCGTTAAAAGTGTAAGCAATCGAGAGTCATTAGTGTGCTTGTCGGCAGCATGCACAAACACATCGTCTTGCCAAACCTCAACACCCTCCATACCTTTCACAATGGAATTCATCAGTTCTTGGAATATAGCTGGCGAAACACTAAGAGCGAGGGAAAGAAATATGTACCGGTGCAACCCGAAAGATGTATTGATGGTGGTTAGTTCACTAGAATCATCAGCGAGTAGTATCTGCAAATATGCTTCTTTTAAGTCTGACTTGGAGAAAACCATACATCCATGTGGACGAGAGAGCATAGAACCAAGTTCTTCCGTGGCACAACTACGCTTCAGTAGTTTCGCATTAAGACTACTGCGGTAATCGCCGCAAACTCTCGGTGTTTATCCATCCGGCTTTAACTGTGTAACAATATGTGTCCCATCGCGAACTTTGTACTGAGACAATAATGCCTGCTTCACAGAGAGACACAAGGGCTTTCCGAACAGGTTCCCTTAGTCCAAATGGAAGTATACGACGTTTACAGAGTACTGGATCACGGGTTACTTTCAAATTAACAGGCGGGATTTTCATTTCACCAGATGCCACTGAACAATCGTGCAGTAAACCACGAATTTGTGTCATTATCAGTGTGTCCAAAAAGTGACACTTATTTTAAACGTTTGCATAACCATAAGACCGAGGATTGACATGCCTTGACGAATGACAACAAATTTACTCTCGACAGGGGTAGAATGCTTATATAACACAAGTAAAGCACAGCATCCTATTACTGGGAGGGTATGGTCAGTAATACTTTTAATAGTAGTGGATGTAGAATCAAGCTGAACATCAGAGTATAGATGATTGAGACTCGTTTTGGAAGTGAGACTCCATACTACCAGTACAAACAATGAAACGGTGGGACGTACCATTTCCAAAGCCTAGGGTATTGAATAAGTGACAATTTGTATCCACCGCTAGTGTTAAGGAATGGAAAATCCTTTGGCGAGTCCTCGGTGTCATCATTAGCTTGTTTCTCTATATTAAAGCATTTGCATTGACGACAAACACTGCGTATATGTCCGACTTTTCCACATTGATGACATTTGGAATTCCGATGTGAGCATGTGTATCAGAAATGCAGCTTTCCACAAGAAACAGATTTTGTCAACTTGACCACAATCTACACTGTGAATGTCTGTGCTTGAAATTGAGTAATGTCGTGAGCTTTAAACGAGTTATATTGCCACTGTTTTCTCGTTTCGAAACGATCTTAGCGTTTCGTTTAATCAAACAAAACTTGCTGGTCAACAACGGTCGTCTGGGCATTATTAATGTCAGAAACAACTTGATAGTGCAAACAGATGGACTTCACTTGATTATCAGTCGGTGCTGGAAGTGATAACAGCTGGCGATGTAAACCGGGTTATTTGTGCCAGCAATCCGGCGATCTCTCAAGTGTTCATCAAGCTTATCCTCAAATGCACAATATAAAGTTTGAGACTGTAGTTGGAGGATGAAATCGCGAACAGATTGATTGGGTTGACGCATCAGTAAGTCGAATTTCGCCCTTTCGGTAACCACGAAATTCCTCGGTAATAAATTGGACAAAAGGTCCTTCAATTCGCAAGGAAGTTTCGACGGTAGCTGAGGATAAGCCAACTACTTCAGTAGTGAATAGGCCCCTCGTCCAACAGCAGTTAAAAGATGTTCGCCTTTAAGGTCTTCGTGAAAGTCACTTTTAGTGAACCACCACAGCTCGAATCTTTCTGTGTACTCTTATAACTCCCGGGGAGATGCATTTACATTCAAGGATTCGATAATTGTATTTATCTTGGATTAAACACTGACTACGACGTCACTTATAGTAGGTTCGGAATCGAAATAGTATTAGACTACAAATATGCTGGCATCGGCTCGTAGTATGAACACCCGAATTGGAATTTCGAGGGTATATATTCTAGGTCAGTTGGTGGAAAAGTATAACAACAATCAATCATTATTGTGTGTACAATCATCACACAGGCGTTGAGCTGTTTGCAAGATCCCAGAGGGTTCGGGCCTATCAGGCCTTTGGGCCTGATTTACTTCACCCGAAACTGTCACGTGATTTGGCTGCGGAAACCCAGTGAGCCGCTGACTATCGTGTTTCAGCTGGGTCATGGAAACACTGTTGCGCTTCATTATGACGCGGTATCATCATGACGTTGATGCGCCGAAAGCTAACGCAACTTGTATTGATTCATTCTAAACAACATAATCAGACTTCCCTAACATTTTAAGTATCAGAAGCAAGAACTAGCCTACTTGTTGGATGAATCTTGGTTCTATTTACGGAGGTGCCCATGGGTCGTGAAACTGAGTAACTAAGCACCCTGTCACTTTACTCACCAGCCATTACAAATTCACAGGAAATGAATAGCAAAGTGGAAACGATATCAGTATACTTCTTATTTCTCACATGCATTGAGATGGGGGCACATAGTGTTCACCATTGACAAATCCAAGGTACGTGCATGCACACATGAGATTATGGTATAGTGTCTGTTAATTCGCTACTGAGTTTGTAGCAACCGTACGTGGGCAGTAACACCTCTCCATCTCTCCGCTCTTACACGTTTTCAGCTGTCCCAATGCCTACTCTGCTTTCCGTCATATTAACTCGCCCTCACATGCATGTATTCACACAAGCAAACACTCCTTTTTTAGCATCATACCCGGACGATATGGGATCGCTACGTCCTGCTTTGGACCTCATCCAGAGCTTACTTCACAGCTCCAAAGGATACTTCCCACTCGGTGTGCTCCTGTTTGTCCTGGAGGTACCTCTGTGCATTTTCATTTTGAGCAAGGTTCCTTGTATGTTCCCGATTGAGTTTTAAATGTTCTTTCTCTAGACACCGAAATTGATTGGATTGCCTACATGCAAGAGGTAGAGCACTTTTTAAATGGTACACTGGACTACGACCAGATACAAGGCCAAACTGGCCCCTGTGTGTAAGGTTGCTTTCACCGTATTCAGTTTTGGAGCTATCCTGCTGGGTTCCTATATGTGTACTCTCTATTTTACTGGATGACGAGCGGGGGCTCGGATATCCTTTCGGCACAATACGGCTTCATGGCCATTTATCTGACCACTCTTATTCTGGTGTTGAATATATACCGCGTTTCCAAACAGGTGAGCATGTGTACGTGTTTCTATTTTCGCAGGCTCCTCCTTACGCTCTTATGTTTACGTGCATTATCGCCTATCGTGTACATTCAATTTATTTGCTGCGACTTTTTAACGACCCTTTGGCTATGTTGGCGGTCTATGGCTGCATATGCTTCTTATTGATGGAGAAGTTCACAATAGCTTGTATTCTTTTCAGGTTAGTGTCCAACTTTACGGTTTGGTTTTATGGATTTGAGTGAGTATCGATTGACGTTGAACGTCTCGACACGTATTTTGTGCGCTACGCGACGATTGTTTATGAAGCGGCTGTTTAGTATGAGCTGGCCGAACCATGTTACAGTTATTTTAATATATGGACGCTGGAACATCGTGGCTCCGTCTTCACTATGGGATCGCATGTGTCATTCATGTGAATCATCGCCAGTTGATGTGATTCCCATGCGGCCTCTGATAACGTCAAATGCGGTTGACGTTAGAAACCAATTGGAATCCTGAATCATCCAAATGTGTTTGTAATCGCGAGCATAGCACCTTACTATTCGGTAATATCTGCTGAGCTGTAGTCCTAGTTTCCTTGGGTGTAGAATTGAAGTCAAGTTATCTAGACTCTTTTGAAGGTCAGCTCAGTTCAGTACAATTCACTTGAATATCTATGATCCGAGTACTGAAGTACGGTGAATGCAGTTGCCACGACTCACGCCGTAATGACAACAATAAATAACGGCCGTAGGACAGCGGGCTCGGATGCGAATAGAATGTGGAGAAAACAGAAGCAAGAAGGAACTGCCTTAAACTAATCAGAATGGAATGAAAATTAACAACCAGATGCAAGAAACTGAATACATGGAAGTCATTGACTTCGGCACTGCACCATGTCTGACACTGTCTCCAACCATTAGTGTGGACCATTCCGAGTCACCCATCCACGAAGACGGTACGCACCAAGCTGACCAAGTCTCTCAGTTTCTTCAACCTTCATTGAATTGTCATGCACTAGTCGTCTCGCGGTTTCGTCCAACTTGGTGTGGCCAAGTCGTGTAATGCACGCCGAGAAAGCCAATCAACGGGCATACTGAGGACATGGTCTGGCCAACGCAGGTGACTAAGATTTACCAAATACTCGAAAGAGGAACCAGAGGGCAAAAAAAAACCATTGGCTAACCTCAGAAATGCCCATTCGGTGTTCCCACCAGACGTGAGCAATAGTCCGCAAGCACCGGTAGTCAAACGGTCAAACGTCTAATGTCTTCATTGCGAACTGGCCATGTCTTCGATCAAAACAGTAACACTGGCCTTATCGCAGCGTTATACACCCTACTTTTCACTGATAAGCTGATATCCCACCGCCTCCATAGGTGGTTGAGCCTCTGGAAAGCCACAAGAGTCTTGCTGATACACGAGGTAGCCTCTTCAGTGATGTGATCACCATAGGTGACACAGCTACCAAAGTAAGTGAACCTATCCACCACTTCCAGTGGCTGTTCGGTGATATCTAGAACCGGAGGTGTGTCGGTTCAGTCTTGCAACAGCATTTTGCACTTTGAAGGTGCGAAATACATGTCGAAGCGTGCAGTGCTACGCATAAGTCTGTGCAAAAGTGTTTGTATAGCCAGTGCATCAGACCCAAGTATAATGATGTCGTCCGCATACTCGAGGTTTGTTAGTCGGTTAACTGGTAGAACTTCCACTCCGGTAGAGTCTGACAGAACCGATTCAATCATAATCAATTCGATCACAAGGTTGAAGAAGAAAGGTAATGGATAACCCTGTCTAACCCCACTTGTCTTGGGGAACTATGCAGACAGTTTCCCGTAGACCTTTAAACGGCTTCGGGAATCACGGTAAAAAGACTTCAGTTTGGATAAGAGTTTAACAGTGCTACAAGCTGTCTCGAACAAAAGAGTCGGCGGCGGCTTTCAAGTCATGAAAAACCACCATGTTTAGTCACCTATATATGTGTCTCCGCTCCAACACTTGGCGAAGAGTAAGTCGCAACGAGACTGGACCTTATCGCGGTGCGACAGTATGCGTACCTCCTTGACCCATTGAGCTATACTGGGTGGTGCCTGCGGGCACCTTGAGAGATACTCCTACCAGGTTGCTCAGGGGTGAGAGGTCAGACAAACTCAGTCTCCTGGTCCTCCAGCTTGGGGGTTTGAAATGGGATGACGTCCATTTCTGTAAAACTAAATCATTGCCACCTCCCCGCTGCCTTGCGGACAGGCTTTTGAGCCAAAGGCTTTGGATGAGGACCCTAATCGTCCTCCTGTTTAGGTCTGGGCGCCCTGGCAGTATCCCAACCCACATACAACCATAACTTTTTCTTTAAACATAAACTTCATCCCGCATCAACCATCGCACAGGTCATCAACCGTTGCCCTATCTGCTGCATACAGCAGGGCGGATAAGCGAAAACATGCTACTGCTGGCGCCTCCCTTCTTTCTTTTCCACCTTTTTCTCTTCCATCTCGACCCCCATTACTAACCTCCCTTTTATAATTCCCAGCTTAGTTGACAGCAACCGAAGTGCCACTGGAGTAGAACCATCTACATCCACCATCCCACAGCACCTATCGGACGCCTATCAGGAGAAGTCCCTTATAAGGCCTTGTTGTCCCGTTTCCATGGCGACATTCAACGTTCGCACTTTAAGACAAATATGTCAACAGGCTGCACTCGCACACACCTTGGACACACTGGGTATTGATGTGTGTTGTGTGTCCGAAGCTAGGATCAATGACCCTAACGGGGTTATTGAATTAATTGCACCCGGCTTATCCCCTCGTTATTGGTTGCACGCGTCCGGAAAAGCTGATGCAGCACTCACTGGTCAAGCTGGTGTAGGTATCATTCACAGCTCCAAGGCTGAGGCATCGTTTGTTTATTGGATTCCGGTGAACAGCCGTTTATGTGCAGCCCGTTTGACGACATCAGCTAAGGTGGATTCACGAAGCAGTACCAGGCGCTGTTTGTGATTTCCCCGTATGCTCCCACCGACTGCAGTTCTGATGCTGCCAAGGACACGTTCTATCACGAACTGAACACGCTGCTACGCCGTGTTACTAGTTCGGACATTATAATACTTGCAGGAAATATGAACGCACAAGTAGGGCATCTGAGCTCTTCTGAAGCTCAGCTAAGTGGGCTTAACACTGAACGGACTGACAACGGTGAGCGTCTGCTGCAACTGTGTGCGAAGCACCAGTCACTGGATATGCGAGAGGTCGGTGAACCTGTTGGGATCCAGGTAAACCTCCCGACTGACTCTGAGCACACTGTGACCAGTCAGACTATTAGGCGCGAACTAAAGCGGAGCCTGCGCGCTGACAAGGAAGCCTGGTAGACCAGTCCGGCTCAAGAAATGTATGGGGCAGAAGCAGTAGGCAATTACCGCAAGCTCTTCAATTTGATCCGCGACACTGGTCCCTTTAAGCCAGGCGTCAGTGAGACAATCAGAGATAGCGCGGGTGCACTAGTACACAATAAGGAGCGCCGGATAGTTCGTTGGGCGGAACGCTTTCAAGATCAGTTCAGCTGGCCTCCTGCTCCCGGATCTCTTCCTACTCAGGTGATGCAGGACAAGCCATGGACGGTTAGTTTAGAGCCTCCGTCGGAGGTCGAAGTTCGAAACGCGATCACAGTCCTCAATCGTTTTCGTGCTCCTGGCCCGGATTCCCTCCTACCTGCACTATTTAAGGATGGAGGTGAGGTCCTCTGCAAATCACTGACCTCCCTATTCGAACGTGTCTTTAAGGAAGAGTGTCCTGACGGATTGACACGAGTCGATTATATTGGGAATATAGAAGAAGAATAGTTGCACAGACTGTGCTAACCACAGGGTTATTAGCCTAACGCCAATTGTGATAAAAGTATTGGCCTCGATTTTCGTTCTTCGTTTCACTGTTGATTGGGAATCTCGGAGTAGGGAAGTGCAGGCCGGTTTCTGCCCAGGACCTGGCTGTATAGACCATATATTCTCACTGCGACAGGTGCTAGAGCAATGCCACGTATACCGCAGACCGACAATGGCTGTGTTCCTTGATTTCAAGAGTGCGTTCGATTCACTCGATCGATGCATTCCGTTCAAAATACTTGCGCGGAAAGGTGTTCCCACGAAATATGTGAACATCCTTCATGTTCTATACTCGAACACTACAGGCCGCGTCAGGGCTTACAGTGACCTGTCGGATAGCTTTCCGACCACAAGTGGCGTTCGTTAGGGTTGTCCGATTTCCCCATTTTTGTTCATTTTTGTCGTGGATTCCATCATGGAGTGTTTTCTTACGGAATCTCCCGATGTAGGCGTTGAGGTCCTGCCTGGTGAAAGGTTAGTTCATCTTGATTATGCGGACGATATCTTCTTGCTTTTTGACGATGTTGGTGCGGCACAGGCAATCCTGAATAGCCTCTCTAGAGCGGTCCCATTATTTTGTACGCACTTGGCACCTTCAAAGTTTTAGTGTTGCTGCAGGACCATCAGCCACTTGATGATCCCTTGACGCTTGCCAACGAGGAACTCGTGGTGGTTGATCGACTCAATTACTTTGGCAGCTGCATCGACAACGATTGGGCATAGAAACTGAAGTCAGTTCACGCATTGCAAAAGCCAGAACTGCCTTCTTGAACCTGCGGCATCTTTGGCGACAGAAGGGAGTTTCTCTCAGTCTGTAAGGCCGTGTATACAAAGCGACAGTGAGGGCCGTTCTGCTCTATGGCAGTGAGACTTGGCCTTTTCGGTCTGAAGATGTGAGGCGCTTTCAAGTCTCTGATCATTGTTGTCTGCGGAGCATTGCTGGTGTCTAATGGCATCACTGTGTCCACAACGATGATGTGCGTAGACGAGTACTAGGTGGTGATGATCATGTTAGCTCCCTAGAACAACAGATAGCACTGAATAAGTTGCGTTGGCTCGGGCGCGTGCTACGTATGCCTGGTCACCGCTTAACTGGAAGCTTTGTTTAGTCTACCAGGTGTTGGGTGGCGCAGGGCTTGAGGTGGACAGAAGTTGACTTGGCAGCGGGAAATGAATTTATTGACGACCGAACTGGGTGCCGTTGTTCCGTCTCGTCTTCCAGGCTGGAGTCCACGTGATTCGCCTTTCGTTTGGCTCGAAACTTTACGTGGCTTGCAATTGGCACCAGTGGCGCGCGCTGCCGTCTCCTAATCTAATTGCCTGATTAAAGTATGTTTGGTGCT